CTAGTCAAAAGCTTTCTTACACGACATTGTTAATTAATGTTTTAAGGATAAATTACAAATTTACTCACTAAATTTTATTTTATCTTTTATTTTATTCACTATATTTTCAGTTTTATCAATATAATCGGTAAACTTTATACAATAAATTTTTTTCACTCAACTGTTAACTATTTACGGTGTTATGATATGAATTAAATAAAAAAAATTAACCGTTAAAAGAATCTCATAATGATAATGATAGACAATAGTCATATGCAACCCAGCCCAAACCAATCCTCCTCCTCCCTTGGCGGTGGTTCTTCGGCTGGAACTATGAAGCTTTGGGAGGAAGAAGTCGCCCAACAAGATTGCGATGGTCTGAGACCCCATGATCCTAAAGCTCGACCACACGCGTTCGAGTATGAAATAGCAGAACTAACGCATGAGGTAGTACATGCAGAATAGGGTTCAATCTCAAGCTACAGGTTACATCTCCCTAACTTCTATTCTACAAATTAAATTAGCCTCCCTTTCATCTTGACAAAGTGTTTGGAATTTTAAATGCTTATGTACTGCATTGTCAGAGCATGACGATGAACTGTTCGACAAAACTCCCAATAATCCTAGAGCCAAGTGGAAAAAGATGAGTTCTCATGCTATCAGTAGACACTGGATTTATCGAGCTAGCAATTGATTTCCAATTTAAGATTTAGGGATTGCACACAAAGGACTCAGAAGATGTAGCGCCAAAGGACGAAGGTGGATGGAAAGAAAGGGACTAATCGCAGAGATTGCTGAGGGTGAGGCCCTGGGGGTGGAAGTGTGGGTTTATGATTCATGTGGAATGACCCGACTGAGTTGAAAAAAGATGATGAAATAATGAGTTTGAGGTTGGGTTTGGGTCTTCATTCACGCCGATTGTTGTTCTCAAAATCCAATTGTTAAAGTAGACAATTAATCATCTTCTTCAACTCACAAGACCCAAAAAATTTACTTTTTTCCAATCCAGAAAACTGAGATAACAATGTCAGATTAGGGATTGTGGTAGATTAGAAGCGTTTTTTCTCAAGCGACGGCGATGAAACTCATGGATTTCTTTTTCGCTTCCCAGTTCACACAGAGATTCAATGGTGGAGAGATTTTGAGAGATGAAGGCTGTGGAGGATGCGAGTTTTAGAAAGGGAAGAGAATGTGGTGAAGGGATTAGAAGGGGTAGAGAACATGTTGAAGAAATTTTTTAACGGTGACGGTTGGGAAGATGAATGGTGGCGGATAATAAAAAAATATAATAATAATATTAATAAAAAATGCCATGTTATGACAGAACGGTTGATTGATAAAAAAAAAATGAAGAATCTAAGATTCTTATTATAATGGAATTCATATTCTTCCATTTGGTTAGTCGGGAATATCATTCTCGGTAATGTAATATTATTAATAGTGGATTTTTTTGAGTATATTACCGAGAATGTCATTACCTCCCTTTCTTAATGTATTGTTGGCTTACCGGCATTTTAGACTAAAATACCTTTAAATTTTTTTCTTCAAAATATCATTCTTATGTTATTGAATAATAAAAATTATACGAAGGTTAAATTACAAATTTATCCTTAAACTATTTTAGATTTACAAAAAAAATCTATAATTAAAATCTTATATGAAGTTCAGGGGTTAAAATAAAATTTTATCCTTTCATTAAACCTTTTTATATTTTTAATTTTGTTAAAAAATATATAAATTTTATGAATTTAATTTTTTTAAAGAAAATATATAAATACTTTCCAACTTGTTAAAAAACAAATATATTAGTTAAATATACATTCTAATAATATTTTATTCCTTTAACCAAACACGATAATCTTACATTCCTGCTAAATCAATCAAACACAAAAGACAACATTCCCGATAATCATATTCTCTGGTAATCTTATATTTCCACTGGGAATCTTACATTCCGTGAACCAAACGCACTCTTAATGTATAAAGTCTAAAGATTAAGTTGAAAAAAATTAAAAGTATAATGAGTGAAATAGGAGAGAGAGTAAAGTTACATTGTTAGTGTTGTAATTTACCCATGTTTTAAACTTGTCTGAAATTCATCACGACCAATCAGATAAATCTGACAAAATTTGTGTGCGACTGATGCGTGTGTTTGTGTTTTGACTAGAGACGAGAAGTCATGCAAAAGCTGGGTAGTTTGAATCCAACAAGTAAGAATAATTAGGGTTCTAACTACCCCCAAAGCGAAAACCGGGAACTCACATGTGCTTTTGCTTGCCTGTCTCTTTATCTTCCTTTTCCAGCTTTGTCACTGGAGTTTCCATTTCATCATTTTACGACTGCTGAGTAATTGTGAGCATCGCCAGGGCAAGTAGAAACTGGGAAGTGCAAACAAAGTTTGTTTTTTTTCCCGTGAAAGTTTAGTTTGTTTAACCAATCATTAAAAGGGGGTTGGGCATTACGGTACAGAGAAGTCATGAATTCAGTTTTTTTAAACCATGATTTATTAATCGATTAATCTAAATTAAATATTACAAGATTCAATATGAGAATAACCCTTACAACTTAATTTATTCATTCTCAAATATTAAGATTCAAATCGGAAATTATATCATTTATCCGTCACTTGATCCAAATTTATGGATGGTTCATCCAATCTATAGTTTGACTCATGACTCAACTTTTAGGATAAAATCACAACTTGACTTGATATATATATATATATTTATATTCATATTTATAAAATATATTATTACATTATCTTTAAATATATATGATATAATTATACTTTTATTTCAGATCATTCTTTTCATCCTAAACCTGAATACAATCTAATCAAGAATTATTAAAAAGAAAAGCAACCCTATTTGTCCCTATTTTATTTATTAGTATTCATATTTAACCCCTAATTATTCTGATTTTGTTCAATCCTCTTAAATTCTTCGATAGTGTGAGGTAAATATAATATAATATCTATATAAAAACTTTCAACTATTTGATATTAAATATTCATACCCTTGACATATGTAGTTCAAGGGATCTTAAGGACTAACAACAAATCTCTTTAACTTCAATAATCACAATATTGGACCTCTTAGTCTGAAAACAGTCATTTGCTTCACTTTTGTAGCACTAATTTTTATGTTAAAGGTCGTGAATTGATCATGACGTCCTCAGTGTGATGTCCTACAAGTGATCGAAGAGTAGATTTCCTTGTTTACTTTCCCAGCTCTTTCACCAAGAATATTTCTGGACTTCCCGTCAACCTGTTCTTGCTGTATTATTAAGCTTGGTGGCAGAGTATATATATAATATATAGACTATATGCACTAACATGAACTGTATCTCCCAAACCATACCTTGTGCAATCTGGTTTCCATGGAAGGTTTGGTTCACAGAAAACAGCCAATTTTGCTCAAAAATTCGCCTTTAAAGGAAGAGCTGGAAGCTGATATGACTGCCCGCTACCTATCTGTTGTTTTCTTCGGGGAAGAAAACATATGAACAGTTGTTTTCTTTCACCAAACTGTGTGTCACCTCAAGAAAAAGCCATGCTTCGTACAATTTTGTTTGGTTCTAGGGTTTAGATTTTAGGCACATCTGTGACCATGATACATCCACTTCGATTCCAGACAAGGACCCCTCCGTCCCATGTTTTTGGCTCTAGTAATGAATTTAGATTTATTATTTTAACTCTAATAATGGATTTTAAATTCACATCATGCTAAAATTTATCTCTAACATTTATTTGAATGGTCATTATAATCCTTATTATTATTATTTAAGTATTTTAGTTATCAAATGTTTTAGTTTTTTTGATGAAAGTCGTTAGTTGATTAACGGTTAACACATATTTTTAACATATAATTTCTACGCTAGATTTTTGATATATCACATGTCATGTTATTTTGTTTGATATGACATGTGTCATATCATAATCTTATGTGATATTATATATGTTACATTATCACATGGAATAACATGATATAAGACACATCAACAATTTAAAAAATTTAAAAAATATCATATCAATAACATACATTTATTAGTAGTTAATTAGCAATTTTTATCTATAAAAAAATATTTAATTAAAAATTAAACATCAATTACTAAGATATTTAAAAAAATAAAATAACTATCGAAACAAATGTAGATTAGTTCTAACCTTATATCTTTTAAATTTTAAAATAGCACACTTTTTTTTTCAAGTGAAATTTGTGTGTAACAAGGGAGGGTCCTAGCTAGTTGGGTCATGTATTCTGTAAAGTCTATTAAGCAAACAAAAGCGGTGCAAAGCAAATACTTTTTGCGTAGGTGGCTTTCCATGCTGGCCTAGGCCCCCATGGGTTAAAACAAACACCCGTATCCTGCGCCAAAGATCGCCTGTCCCACATGACGACATTTTTCACATTTTCTCGATTTTCACTCAAAACCAAACTACCTGCATTTATTTAATGAGTAAACTATCTATTTAGCCATTCACCTATTATTTTATTACGCTTTGAAATCTAACTATTTTTCTAATATTATATTTAATATTATGTTTGTTTTAATTTTTTCACTCACTGTTGAAAAATTAAAGAAAGTACTAATGTGATATATTTTAATGTCAACATGACATATTTAATCACATTATATTCTCTATATCAGCAACTCAATTTTTTTAATTATTTTTTCCTACTAATAAGATAATGATATGTGATTTAAAAATATAATTGGTTATTGAAATGAAAAATAAAATATAATTAACAATATCATGTCAGTATAAAAATAATTAAAAAATTTCATATTAACACCGATGTCATTTTTTTAATGACGGGTAATTAAAATAAAAATGAAAGATATCATTATGTAATAATTGATTAATTCAAACATAAATTAAATAATATGTCAGTGACTAATAGGTAGTTTACCCTAATTTAATTTCCTCACTCTATATATATACATGTCTGACGAACCGAGGACCCCTACCAAAGCTTTGGAGCACCAGAGTTACAAGTGGTGGCGATATAGTTTTGCCGATGGATTACTTTCCCTCTGCTAACTTTATCGACGGATCTTCTTCTTCTTATTATTCCGTTACAACCAGCAGCAAAGAGAAGAAGATCAAGGCCGGCAAAAAGGGCAAAGGCACCGTAAAGCTATCGACGGATCCGCAAAGCGTGGCCGCTAGAGAACGGAGGCACCGTATAAGCGACCGGTTCAAGATCTTGCAGAGCATGGTTCCTGGTGGGACGAAGATGGACACCGTCTCGATGCTCGATGAAGCCATCCATTATGTGAAGTTTCTCAAGGCTCAGATATGGCTTCACCAAGCCATGATCAACGACTGCTCGTCCGTCTTCGTTCCCGCATCCTTTCCGGTCGATGGAAATATTTACCCGTCGTTGAATCATAGCGTAAGCCTTCCTGCAGCGGCGATACAACCACCGCATCTGCTGCCTTTGCCGGATTCCTGCTTCCAAGTTCACCAACAACAAACCATGCCTTATGATGTATTCATGAAACATGAATAAGCTGATCATCTCCTAGTGATTTTTGCATAGTTGGTTGTTCTAAGGCAATATTTCTCTCCTTTTGTACCGATCAAAGAAGGAACTTGTTATATTTTCATGATCTGTTCTTAAGTCGAAATCTTTTTTATTTCCGGGATTCGCGATGATGAAGTACAAACGCATGTACAGGGACGCGCATATCATTTTCAAACACAAGATCATATATATATAAAGAAAAAGGAAAAGTTGCCATGCACGTACACATATTCTCAATTTTACTCATTACTATATTTATCTCATCTCTATTAATATTCATGTTATAATATTGTGTGTATAATTATTATATACATGGATATTATATATGCATAATTTTAGTATGATCCTTATTATATATATATATATATGTGTGTGTTTGCTGGGTTTGTATTGTTTATAAAAATGCATGGAAATGTTAACATTAAGAACACGCTTAGGTCGTCGTCGTGTTATTATTCTTCCTCCTTTTTTTAGGGGTAAATATGTGCTTTTCAAGGATGTGTAAAGTTAAAATAATAGAGGAATGATTAAATAAATAATTTATATATATTTTTAATTATATATAAATTTATAATTTTGGGCCTTTGACAAGAGGGTTCCTGAACAAATACCCTTCTTACACAGGTTTAGGGACGAGCCTATTATTAAGTCTTTTATTAAGATTATGTATTCGAATTTTGATATTATAAATGAAAATTTTTAAATTGTGAGTATTGTTATTATTATAATAACTTTTTGTAAATTTTGATATGAATTAATTGATTAATAGATAAAATATCCATAGTGTTGTTGCAAATAAATAATAAAAAGTAGCTAATATTCAACCGACACTAATGTTAGGTTTTTTTAATAACAACCGACATTTGATCAGTTGACTTATTAATCTGAATTAAGTATAACAAATGTTCGTTAAGAGATATACAAATTATTCTATTTAAACAGTTAAAATTTAAATTCTAGTTTTTTATTTAAAAGATTTAGTATCTTCTCATATTAGACTAATTTATAATTGATATTAATATTAATATTTTAACTTAACAATTAATTATCAAATCTAGATATAAAAGTTAATTGACCTACTTTTGATTTTGCCGAGATTGTTAATCCTAGGACGCAGTGCCAAGCTTTGCTTTCGGGTCCGTTCCATTCCCTCCTTTTTCACTTTTTCTTTTTGGTGCTTTTATAACTTCTAATCAATCTTTGTATTTCTCTTTTTCAAATTTGAAGAAATATCTCACGACTCATTATATTGTTAATCCGAGGTTGTCATGACTCGTGAGTCGTGGACTCGTGGTGGATCCAGTTTAGGTCCAATACATGAGTAAATATTACGTAGTACAATTATTATTTAATTAATTAAATTTGGATAAACATGAATCAGCCATTAATAAATTAAAACAAAAAGAGAGAATGGTTTGGGTTTTGCTAGAACAATCCAGGATCCCCAACCCAATTCTCCATGCGTCTTTCTACGTGTTCCATCAGCTTCTACGTGCACCACCTGTCATTTCCTTTCCTTGTCGTCTTCATCCCCATGTATATAAATAAACCAACCCCAATGGACAAATCCAATCCATGCAGCAAAACTACATGCAAAAGTCTATCATCGAAATCTTCTTGTGTGAAGTTATTTGTGGAGACAAATGGCAAGCGAGCAGGATCAGTTCAGGCTGGTATCCCCAGCCATAAACCAAGAAGGCAAGTTGCCGAGAAAATACACAGACGAAGGTCAAGGTGCAAAGCGGAACCTGTCTCCGCCGCTAGAATGGTACAATGTGCCCGACGGAACTCGGACGCTGGCCTTGGTGGTGGAAGACATAGATGCTCCCGACCCCAGCGGCCCGATCGTGCCGTGGACCTGTTGGGTGGTGATTGACATACCGCCGACGTTGAAGGGTCTCCCGGAGGGATTCTCCGGGAAGGAAGAGGAGGCCGGTGGATATTATGCTGACATCAAAGAAGGCAACAATGATTATAAGGTTCCGGGGTGGCGAGGACCCAAGTTGCCGTCTCACGGCCACCGTTTCCTCTTCAGGCTGTTTGCTTTGGATGATGAATTGAATGTGGGCAACAAAGTATGTGTTGAAATCGTATGTAATTGGAAATTGTTTGATTTATTTGGAATGATTTGATGAATTTTGTGGTTGATTTTTGTGTATGGGTGACCAAGGAGAAGGTGCTTGAAGCTATCGAAGGACATGTGTTGGCTGAAGCAGAATTGATGACCAAGTTTTAAGTGAAGACTGTTTGTATTTTAATGCTCTTGTGTGGTTCTTTGTAAGATGTCTAAACATCACTCAATGAACAATTTAATAAATTGGCTTTTCTTTTTTACTTTTTCATTATATGCATATAGGGATTGCTATACTTCGTCTACTTATGAATTTTGGTGATTTCATACCATTTGACAAGAAAAAAATGTCTCCATAAGTTCATTTGATTATTTAATTTGTCAAACTATAAATAATAATATTTTTTTCAAACGAATATAAAAATTAGGTTTTTCTAAGTAAAATTAAAAGATAGATTCTTATATTTCAATGTTTTGAATAATTAATTTAATATTATTTTAACAAATCGTATAAAAAATGATTAAATTAAGAATTTAAATTATAAAAGTAAAAAAATATAATTGAAAAAAATTAGGAATCCTAATAATAAAGTTAATTATAAAGATAAAAATTGATATTAAAAAAATAAGGGCATCAAAATGAGGTTTAAATTAGATAAGTAAAAATATGATTGAAAAAATTAAGAATTTTAATTATAAAGATAAAAAGTGAAATTAATTGAAAAAAGTAAGAGTTTTAATTATAAAGATAAAAAGTGAAACTGGAAAAAGTAGAAGGTATAAGATGAGATTGAAAAATTTAGGATCATAAAAAATGGGATTAAAAAAAGGACTTTTAGATAAAAACTAGGATAAAAAAACTAAAATTGCTGCCCCTTTAGGAGTTTTTAATTATAAAAATTAAAGACTTCAATTATAAGGATAAAAATTATAAACATAATCAATATTAAGACTCCATACAAAATGAGGGGTATGAACAATTGTTTAAGGTATACCTTTAATAGTAAAAAAACATAATTTTAATGAAAAAATAAAAATTATTTAAAATATCATATCAATATCGTTTTTATTTTTTTTAATAATAAATAATCAACAAAATTAAGATATAATTTTAAAAAATAGATCAATAATTAAAATAAAAAAAAATAATAGATGAATGTCTAAATAAATAATATATTATTTTTTAATTATATATAATTTTTACAATTTTGGGCCTCAGGCAAGAGGGGCCCTGGACAAGTCTCTCTCGCCCATGCCCATGCTCAAATACGACTTGTTTATGAAATATGAGACTAATGTTTAAAGTATTTGATAAAGTGAATAAGTGATTTTAAGGGTAAACGAATTGAGCATTATCTTAAAAGTTGCGAATTGGTTATATTTATAAAGATTTGTAGGACTTGTAAACAAATCTACTAGATTTATAATCGAATAAAAAACATAAATGAAGATATGTTAATATTTATTCGTGCAGACATCATATCTATAAAGATAATTATATCTATAAAGATATTTATGCATTCCTATAACTCGAGTAATATATTCTCAGAATTATTATGAGACGAGAGAAAAATACGAGGTGAAAGAAAGAAAGACGGTTTTGTATTAACATAATAGTTGACTATAAACAACAAGACTTATTGATCGAACGAATATAATGAAGATATGTTTATATTTATTGGTTTAAATCTAATAGAAACAAGTGAACATATATTTATGTAATATATTTAATCATTTAACTTAACGGATAAATTTATAAATCTTAACGGAAAAAACATTTTTGTTAGTTAAGAAATAATTTATTCGTGTTTGTTTGTATTTATTTGTTAAGAAATATAACTTATTTATATTCATTTATTAAAATGATAAATGAATATAAACATATATAAATTCAAATATCATGAAATGAAAGGAATCACGAGACATATATTTATATCTCGTGAAATAAAAATAAAATAAAATAAAAGTGATAATGATTTGCTTCATGAGAAAATTATATATAAATAAATTTAAACAAATATAAATTGGATATAAATAAACGAATAAATCTTTTATTCTATTATTCATTTAATTAATTGCGATATAAACAGTTTTTTTTTGTTGAATAGTAAATAATTTTAAAATTTTAAAATAAAATATCACACCATCGTAACTTTAAATATTTAAATATTTAACAGTTATCTCTCAAAAAAGATTTAACAGATAAAAAAAAGACGTATTCGAAGGATTCAGTAAAATAATCTAGTGATCACAATAGAAATATTATTAAAGTTAGATGATCAATATAGTTTATCCACATTTAAATAGAAGGAAACAGTCTCCCGTGCTTGCCACGCAAACACTGCCGTGCCGCATTTCTTACGCTTTCGGACCTCCAACCCCTAAACCCTCAAATTAACACGCTAGAATTTTCCATCTCTTTCTCGAGAAAAAATAGGAGGGAAAGTCAATCAAATGGCCACCAGACTCGCCCTTCGTCTCAGATCCCATCTCCTCGGCAACCTCCACCTTCAGAATCCCCCAGCTCCATCCACTTTTATATCTCCGCCGTCGATCTCTCATCTCGCGCCACCTCCAATCGCCGCCATCAACCAATTCTTCACTTCCCCGACCATCCGCTTCCTCTCCACTTCCATGCGCCGAGTCCCCACCCGACCCAAAAAGGTCGACATCGGGGCCCGAGCACGCCAGCTCCAGACCCGCCGCCTCTGGACCTACGCCTTAACCTTCGGTTGCGTAGCGGGATTTGTAGTTTTAGTCCTCAACAATTTTCAAGATCAATTAGTTTTCTACGTTACCCCAACCGACGCCCTCGAAAAATACACGAAAAATCCTTCGAAAACGAAGTTCAGACTCGGCGGTCTGGTTCTGGAAGGAAGCGTGGTTCAGCCGGGTTCTTGTAAAGAGATGGAGTTCGTCATTACTGATTTGATAACCGATATTTTGGTTAGGTACGAAGGTTCGTTACCGGATTTGTTTAGAGAAGGACATTCCGTTGTTGTTGAAGGATTTGTTAAGCCTTTCACGGAAGAAATTAAAAGGGACGTTTCATCGAGGAGCGTATCTACGAAAGCAAGGAGCGGCGACTGTTACTTTTCGGCCACCGAGGTTCTTGCTAAGCATGACGAGAAGTATATGCCTCAAGAGGTTGCAGCTGCCATTGAGAAGAACAAGAAGAAGATTGAGGAAGGACTGGAAGGAGCTAAGGAATCGATAGCTTGACATTGGTATGACTGACATTTTTCTTATGCTAATATTTTGTAAACGTATTCATTTTGATTGGAAATTTTGTAAACTTATTGGCTTAGATTGAATCATAGATTGAAATTCAAATTTTCTAGTGGAATTACAATAAGATAGCGAGGAAGAGGATGAAATCGAAACACTTGAGGCATTTGTTTCCTTTTAATTCTGTTGTTGTACTGCCACGATTGTGGTCTTTACTTAACTTGAATAAGAATGCATCCTCAAGAATTTACTCTAGTCATTCTAATTCATCTTTGGAATTATTGGAAATTCAGCTATGAGAACATCTTGTCTGTTCATATTAACAAGAATTGTCAAGCTCTTTTAATTTCTGCTAAAAAACTCATAGTTGGATGCTATTCTAGACTTCTAGTTATCACCTTGTAGTTCGTATGTTCTTTTATTTTGTTGATTCACGTTACTGTATGGGGGTTATCATTTATAATTTGAGACAAACTTAGAAGGGTAACCAAACTTAAAATTCTTGTGAACTTAACGTAGTGGAAGATTACATTGATGGTAAACTTCTTGTTAGTTGTTTCTATTGATAGATCCTGTTGTAAGTAACGAGTGAATTCTTGATTCTAATTACACGTTTTAAGCATGTCACAATCGGGACTAGTTTTCGATATATGAATCAGAATCAATGTCTAAAGGAACAATTATATTGGGGAATAATGCCTCTCGTGGGATCACTGGTGCTGAAAAGATCAAGATTAAAATGTTCGGTGGAGTTGTGAAAGCATTGGATAATGTGAGACACGTACTAGAATTAAAAGAGAAATTTGATTTTGTCAAGTACTCTAGACGTAAAAGGTACAAGTACATGCTGAAGGTGGAATAATGAGGATCAATAGGGACTCTCTTGTGGTGATAAAAGGTCAAAAAATGATTGTCGAGTTTTATGTCTTGTAGATTCAATAGTTCTAGACGATGCAATTGTTACTTTCACTTTCTTGTTGGATGTTAAATGGAGAAAAAGGTGTGAGTCTGATGAATTTAGGAAGCAAAAGAGAATTCATTTTGGCACGAGGATTCATGGTGCCAAAGGTTAAAAAAATAGAGCTCTATTGGGGTTTGATAAGGTTGATTCAGTTGTTCATGTATTCGATCATATAGTGCATAATGTTATTATTCGTGGTGATATTGTTGTGAACAAAGTTGGTACTTTTTATAATGCTATTGATTTGATGACTTTGTTCGAGGTGGAACATAGCTTGGACTTATTTGATGTTCATTGATAATTGATACCCTTAAGGGGTTTTATGGAAAAGGTAAAGAATTCATCGATATTGGAGTATTTATTCTAATTCCTTGCACTTCTATGATTTCATGCCAACGAGGAGAATTTGTTTTCCTTAGTTAAGTTGAATTTTATTGAAGTTTTAGAATTATACTAAGATCAAACTCTCATCATTTTTTCATGTATCTCCAGAATTCATGTTAATGTAGAGATTGTTAGAATTCGTGATTTGAATTCTATTTGATATGACCCATAGATTGTTAGAGTTTGTGATTTGAATTCTATTTGATATGATCCAGAAAACTCGTGTTATGACATGTTTGGTGGGAAAAAAATAAGAAGAAATTATAAGGAAAATAGGAATTTATGATGGATGCAAAGACATTTAAATACGAATCCATGTAATTTGAATTTTATTTCTCATCAAGTAATTAACCCTATAAGAATTTAACAATAATTAGGGTTAGAATTCAGCCTTGGTTAAGTTGCAATCCTATTGTGATTTCAACATTATAGTTAATTTGTTGACTATGGTGGTGGTTTTTCTTTTTTAGGAGTTTTACTTAAAATGTAATTGTCTAGGCTTGACCTAAATGTTACAATCAAATCCAGGAAATTCACAAATGAAAAAAATTATTAAAGCTCAAAAACGAGTTTAAAAGTTTGAAGTAGAACATAAAGTTCAATGTATATATATATATATATAAACATTGATGTAAATTTTAATCAGAATGAAACGTCAAAATGCTAACGGAAAAAAAAAACATAATAGCATATATATATATATATATATATATATCCCATATTGATCGAGTCAGATCTGATTTTTTTTATTACATATCCGCCTCTACCTTAATTCTATCCTTTTCCAAATTCGTTCCAACTCACTCAAACTTGTATTTTTTTTTTGAAAATATATATTTATAAAATTAATCAGATCAAAATTTATCAAATTCGAATAATTTTATCATCCTACCCAAAGTATAGGCAAGATGCTACAATTTATGGAAACCACAAAAATACAAATATAAAATTTTGACAGTTTATATTCCTCAAGACGAAAATTATATTTATATTTTCTTGGTATACCACCATATGATTTTTCCAACAATGCATACGTATATATGTGAAAGGAATATATTAATAAAAATATTTTGGGTGAAGAAATTTGCATACCTTATGAATTATTAGGTAAACACACCCGACAGTGACTAATTTATTATTATATTACTATTTGCAATTAATGAAATGAAGCTTATTTCAAAGCTGACTTCTCAATAAAAGGCAACCATATATATATATATATATATATATATATATGATATTAATGCCACGACCAAAAAAAATCTAAAATACTATATATTAAAAGAATGTTGAGCTTTGGTGTTGCTTTTTTTTTCTCTAAAAAAAATACTGTTCATTTCATCATCATTCTATACCTAAATTTAAAAAGTTTAATAAAATAATAGTATAATATAAAAATATTTTTGATATTTAATTAAATAGTTATTTTAATCTTTATTTTTTTTATTATTTTGACCCCAACATTATTTCGGGAAAAAATCCATTCATGGATAGAGTTCATTAGTTAGAAAAGGATCAACGCTTCATAATAGGGATGTTTTTTTATCAAATGAAATAATGGAGGTCAAAATATTATAAAAAAGGAATATTAACCAAAATGATTTGACCCCAAACATTATTTCGGGAAAAAATCCATTCATGGATAGAGTTCATTAGTTAGAAAAGGATCAACGCTTCATAATAGGGATGTTTTTTTATCAAATGAAATAATGGAGGTCAAAATATTATAAAAAAAGAATATTAACCAAAATGAATATTTACTTAAATGTAAGGGGCACTTTTACCCTAAAATAAAATATCAGTTATCAAAATACTCCAAATAAAAATGAATAAAAATAATTATTTAATCAAATATTAATACATTAATTTCTTTTAACATTATACCTAAAATAATCCCGTTCAAAACAATTAAATAAATAAAAATGAGTAGGAAAAGGGAAACTAATGTGGAATTTCCAAAGAATATATATATTTTTATATTTTGGTCCCACTGCAATGGTGAGGGTAATGGGCATGAAGCAAATGAAACTAAGCATGACTTTGTTGAAAACAGCAGTCTATCTACTCTATATTCTATGCTATCTTCATTTGAGTTTAATAAATTTGCATGGCATATTGCCAGTACTATACCATGCATTAATTTATTAATTTTTTTAGATGAGAAATGGGCGAATATATATAGTTCCACCTACCAAATAAAATAATTTATTTAAGAGCTTAGTCTGAGAATATAAATATCAATATTTATGAAAATTATTACTCAAGAGCTAGTCGTGAAGCTTCTTTGAAATTAACTTGACAGAATTTCCTTGGTTTGAATTATTTAAAAATGATATGGTGGGCAAGAATATAGTTGATGATGGTCATCATCATCATATGCCATGCCATGTCTGTCTATATAAATATATATAAAGAAACAGATATACATAGGAGAGAGTTGCAGAAGAAGACAGACATACTCATTCTCAAATCTCAAGTAACGACAGATCCGCATTAATAGGCTCACGAATTCTCATGCAAAACTTAAACTATATAATACTATATACCAATAATAAAATGATGATAAGCAAATACTAACGGTAAGGGAAAAAATAACGTAATACTTTTTCATTGAGATATATATATATACTTAATAAATAAATAACAACAATCTCTTAACCTATAAACTTGTTTGATTCGTGCATCATTGAATTTTGTTGAATAATATAAATAGAAGATAATCTCGTAATATTTTAAATGAAATTTTATTTTAAATATATTTTGAAGATGATATTATTATCATTATAATATAAAAAAAAATGAGATACGTCCAATATTTTCACAGACTCTATTACATTCATTTTTTAACCTCTATTGATATATTATTATCATCATTGATGGTTCGTTATAAACTCTAAACATAAATAATAAAATAAATACAGGCTGTATTATAAAAAGCTGTTATTGTTCCTTAAATATGTTTATGTAAAATACTACTTAAATTTTATGCAACATTATTTAATACATTAGAAGTGTGAAACGTGGTTTACGTAATTCTATTTATCTTAATTTTAAATTTTAAATTTTAAGTCTTAAAAAAAAGATTATATAAATTAAATTTTACACAATTTACATATAAAATACTTTTTTCAAATATTATTATTTTTATTTAATTTGCATGGTTGATGTAGAAACTAAGAGCTTCACGTGCTTCATGTAGCAAGTTGAAATATTACCACCCATGATGTGGGGCAAAGGTTGTCTTAGCTAGGTTTAGCTGTTTGGGACTGTCATGTTTAGAAAATTTTTATTTTTATTTTTCATTTGAGATCATGTGTGTATTGTTATTTCAACATATATTATTTTTGTAAATTAGGACATAAAAAAAAACAAAATGAAAATTGGTTGTGAAAAGTTGAACCATAAATTCATGTGTTGGCAAAGGCATGGCAAGATCCCTGTGAAGTATGAATGGAACGGCAAAACAACCCCGTCCATGTCAATAACGCGTGTGAAGAATGAAAAAGTTCCATTCTAAGTCCCAACTCCTAACCAATTGATCTACCTCCCCATCACCTCTGAAGACACCCAAAGAGTACAACACCTCAAAGTTATGGGTGTAAATGAACAGACTGTTCTATGAAATGTTCGTGAATAGAGATGTGTTCGATATATTTATGTTAAAAAATAAACTTGTTTATAATCTCATTTACTTTTTATTTTTTATATTTTAAATATTGATGAATGTATAGATTAAATTGAACAAATTTTGAAATTTGGAGTTTAAACTATGAAGCTTGAGAATTTTAAGCACTAGTTACGTGATATTACCACTTTTTAACTTTTAAATGAACATATTCATAAACGCTAAATTAGCATATTCAAGAAAATATAAACAAACACTAAATTAACATGTAAACGAACACTAGTTTGAACACTAGATGAACGTTAGAATTTTTAAGTTTAAGGTTTAGTGTTAAAGCTTGATCTATTTATCAATTAATCTAAATAAGGTATTGTTTGTTCTATTCATGAAAATTAGAATTCAAATTTTTGATATTGTTTAAGGAATCTATATCTCGTCTCATTAGGTTAACTAGTTGCTGATGATGATATTTAATTATTGATCGACTAGTTCATATAGAATCCTATATAAATTATTATAACACCGAATAATAAATTTGGGGAAAGCATAATGTTTCATTCTATATTGATTCTTCTCATTATTTTTTTAATTTATAAATTATTTAAACTATAATTATAAATTGATCTAAATTCTAATTCTTAAAACTTTAAATTATTTTATCAAAACCCTTCACTATATTTTATGCAACTTTATTTTAAATGTTTCCATTATATAATTAGGCTGAGTCGGCTAATAAGGGAGTTACTTTGAGTGATTGCTTACGGCCCAATTTTCTATAGGATATATAATTTTTTTAATAATATTTTTTATTTTTATAATTGAAGTTTTTAATTCTGTTAATCTTATTTTTATCTTTTTAATTGAGGTTTCTAATTTTTTTCAATCCAACTTTTTACCTCTATAATTGAGCCCCAAATTTTTTTCAATCTCACTTTCTACCTTTTTATTGTGACCCCTAATTTTACCTTATAATTAAGACCCCTTATTTTTTTCAATCTTATTTTCTACTATATAATTGAGGGCCCTATTTTTTATCTCACTTTTACCTTTATAATTAAGACCCCTTATTTTTTTCAATCTTATTTTCTACCTATATAATTGAGGGCCCTATTTTTTTATCTCACTTTTTACCTTTATAATTAAAGCCTCTAATTTTTTTTTAAAAAATTGCCACTTTCTACCTTCATAATTGAGGCCCATAATTTTTTTAATCTCAAATTTTACTTTTATAATTGACGCCCCTAATTTTTTCAGTACCGCTTTTCACCTTTATAATTGAGGTCCCTAATTTTCTGAATCTCACTTTCTACCTTTATAATTGATGCCTCTATTGTTTTTTTTTTCAATTCAATAAAATTCTTAATTTCTCATCCATTTCTAATTTATCCATCTCTCTCATTAATTAATTTAGTTTAGAATTAAATCCACTCATATTTTTCTCTCTTTTTTTTCAAATCACATTCTTTAGTTTATCAAATATTCTTTAACTCTTAACTTTCTCCAATGTTAATCTAATGAGAAATGATACACTATTCTTTATTTTTTTTATTTATTGTTTAAAATTAAGATCCATATATACTAACATTCAATATTTTTATTATTTTCTTAGTTGTATTTAAGGTGTTTTCTTAACAAAATAATAAAAATAATAAATTAATCATTTTTTTACTATTTATTAATGTAATATAAATTAATTATTTAAAATAATAAAATATACTTTCGCTCTATAGTAATCTAGTTTTGAATTTTCACTTTAGGCCTCGAAAATATTCGGCTATATAATTGGGTACATAAAATTGAGAACCAATGGAAAGGGGTGCTGCATTATTAGCTATATATGCATATAGTGGTCCGATATTGAGTTGCCCGAGGAGGAGCAAAGCCCGTGATTCCCGTTGGAAAGCCAATTTCTTAAATCTTTTTTTCTGAGTTTGGGTCTGCATCGGCAACAGCTTAGCATCACATGCCATTAACATCTCTACCCTCAACGTGACCCATTCCTCCTTCAACTGTCCATTATCTGTTCGTGCGCTATACTTCAATTAATTATCCTCCCAACTCACAGGTTTAATATCAGTTCGAATCTTTAATGCATGCATGCATGTGTGACACATGACGTGTCCTAATTCAATTAAGTTTTAAAATATACGTTTCCTTTATATATATTTCTTCCAGATTTTCTCTGTAAGTAACATTTTTACTGTTATTTTTGAATTATAGGACAAACGAGGGAAAAAAGGTTTTTTAATTTATAGGTTGGGCGGGGAACAATGTCAACAAGGCCGCCATCGTTAGTCTTACGAAATCCTTTTCTTCCATTTAGCCAAGGGACAAAATTGATAAGAACAAAGTCCAATTTGAAGTAAATAGTGTCCAATTTTTAATTCCGACGAACGACGGTCCAAATTGATAAAATAATATGTCTGATACATTTTCTTAAAATAGTACGATGCGAATCTCTAATTCCATTCAAAATTACTAAAGTGTCCCTGGTTTCATGGTTCATACTCATTGCATCTGATGTAAAACTATTCTTTTTGTATCTTCTATGCATGACTTAACATCCATGCATGCATGCATGTGTTGCATGGGCATCCATGGATGATATAAATATATTACTAGTATGTCTACCATAAGGATATAAGACTAAGTAAATAATATAGTTTACTAGTCCCAATCCCGAGAGAGAGAAAGAGAGAAACAGGTTTGTCTTTGTCTTCCCTGTCAAGATCTAGGGTTTTCCAATCTGTTCAAAGATCTGTATAGTTTTGCTTCGAGTCCTCCTCGGTGCTTCCTTTCAGTTAGTTTTCTCTCTGTATTTCTCTTAGAAGAAGATCAAAACTCGAAGTTCATGTTAACAACCAAGAAATCTTCTTTAATTTCATATGATCATATCGACCTGCGTATATATATACTTTATCTCTTCTTTAATTTCATGCTATGATTCTGGATATTAATCGAAGCTGAGCTTGGCCATCATGATGGAGAGAAACAGCAGCACCGAATGTTCAAAGACAACAACAACCCCATCGAAACAAAACCAGCTTCCGGTCGGGGCTGAGAGCGAAAGCGAAGAGAACGACGGCGAAAGTAAGCCTGGAAATGGAGGAAGCTCGAGCAACAGCACGGTGGAAGAGAACGATAAGAAGCCATCCGTAAGACCTTATGTTAGATCCAAGACGCCGAGGCTCCGATGGACACCCGACCTTCATCTTCGCTTCGTTCACGCCGTCGAGAGACTCGGCGGACAAGACAGTGAGAACCTCATCAATCTCTAGTCTTATCTTGATTTCTCTGCAATTCTTTTTTTTTTAACTTATCTTCTCACTTCGATACAGGAGCTACCCCGAAGTTAGTTCTTCAATTGATGAACATAAAAGGACTTAGCATCGCTCATGTCAAGAGCCACCTCCAGGTTATTATTTGACTAAATTAAAACTTGTAGGTTAGCTAATATGATTCATAGGAGAGATTCAGAGACACCCTTTGATTTGTTTTGGTTCTAACAATCTTTTTCATCAGATGCACAGAAGCAAGAAGGTTAATGATTCAGGACAAGGTACGCATGTAGCTTCGAATTTTCTACCTTGATTCTCATTAGGGTTTCGATCAATGATCGTTTTCTAATCCATTACCTTTACATATGGCAGCCATGAATGATCATAGGCATCTTGTGGAAAGTGGGGATGGAAATATTTATAACCTCAACCAACTTCCCATGCTGCAAGGCTATAATCATCATCATCACCAAGGAGACAGTTCTAATTCTTTCAGGTACTAAAGTTTAACAATCGATCTTCAGTCTTAAATGCTCGTATACTATTGTTCTTTAAACGCAGATTGTTTGCTTCTTTTCAAGATACGGAGATGCTTCTTGGAATGGCCGACAGTTCTCGATTCGTAATCCTTATACAAGCAGGAGTTTCATCGATGAACAACGACCGGGATTGCATGGAACAGTGACGGACAGGATCTTCGGTAGTAATAATTGGATCAATTATGGTTTCAGGATGGACACTTCCCCTTTCAATGCATTAACTAAACTCAAAGGCCATGAATCGAAGAATGAGTTCTCATCATCTCGTATCCATGAATCGTTCTCGACTCAGCCAAGATTAGGCCTCATGAGTACTTTTACTCAAGCTAAAGTAGAAGACGAAACAAATTTCAACCGTGAACAAGAGCGTAGGGCAATGAAAAGACCGATATCGGATAGCAACTTGGACTTGGATCTATCTTTACGCCTCACGCCGCTGAACGGAGAAAGGAGACCAAGCTCGGAGGAAGAAGACGCTGGGCGTGAGTTATCATTGTCATTATGGTCACCGTCGTCATCTTCGTCGAAGCTTAAGAGATTGAAAGGAGAAGATCATAGTAGGGATAGTGGAAGAAGGGTAAGTACTCTAGATCTGACTATATGAATGGGACAATTCTAAGTGAGATCTTGAAGTACTTATCCGAGAAAGACCTTTTTATTTTTCTTATTGTCTAATTATAACAATATTACACGAATCGATAATAACCTTTTTGTTTTTATGTGTTGTGATTCTCTGTCGTTTCCTTCACATTATCAGAGCCCCATTCAAAGTTGAATTTACAAACTATATATGTCGGCTACACAATCCCAGGTTCATATTAATCTTTCAGACAAAAAATAGAACACCAACAGGTCTTGTTTGCAAGAAACTAATTGATCAGGTGAAACACAACTCTTTAGGTAAACGGAGCATCGAAACTTATTCTCTCGTATGTCCTCCAATCATATTATTAAATTGTGGTCGTGGTTGCGGTTGGTGTCATAGTTATAGATGTTGCAAACGTTACAACATAATTTATTTATTAAAAATAATTAGTACATTTTTATATTATGATTTACAGTATTGAGATGACCTTGAAAAGTATTACGATACAACCGTTACGCTACGTTTTAACCATAATTTAATACTATAATGGGCTCCGATGCTTGAGTTAGCAAATGGGTGCAATCAACTAAGGAAGTAAAATAGTTTAGGCTAGCAGTAAAGTCTGAGAGTATATAGAGTAAGAATGGCCGTTAGATTGAATCGAGTGAAAATTTTATTAGTTAATTAAATTGACGAGTTTCATTTTATCATTTTAATTCAATTTAATTTTTTTCATATACAATGTAATACCCCAAACATTGGGTCAGGGACCATAGTGAAAGGATTTTAAATTTGGTGGGTTAAGTTGACTAAATTGAAAAGTACAAGGATTGATTTAGAAAATTGTGTTTAAGACTTGTTGTTAAGAATGAAAGAATGGAGGGGTATTATGGACTTTTAAAAGAAAATAAATTTAATATTCATTTAAATTAGAGATGTTTATTAAGGAATGAATAGTAGAAAAAGGATAAAGCGGAAAAATTTAATTCTCTACTCTTTTTCTTCTTCTCTTCCCCGTACTTCCATAGCAAATGTAAGATATCTTCAAGTTGGTTTTTCCTTTTGTTTTTGGGTTGATTTTGAAGCCTTGAGTGATATAGAAACTTAAGGAAAGTTTAAGAGTAATTAAAACTAATAGATTAGTGGTTTAATAAAAATGAGTTTTTAAGTGATTTGATGAAATATAGTCAGTTATTAGAGTTTTAAAAGCATTTTTGACTTGTCAAAGATGTAAATAAGAGATTTTGAGCCTTAAAAGTGATTGAAAACATGTTTGAAATTTTGGTGTAATTTTTAGTTTTAAGTGTTCTTTGAAGGAAATGAGATGTTATAAGGAGATTTATGGATGTAAGTTAGTTTGGACAAGTGATAATGAGTTTGATGGTATGTTAGGAGATAAGAGTAAGAGATTTAGGTGAAATTTGGGTAAAAATCAAAGTGAAATATGTAAAATCTGGGCAAGGGTATCGGTACAGGAAGAACAGTACCGATACTATAAGGTGAAAATAGAAAGATAATATAGGATTCAGATGAATAATATCGATACCGATTTAAAGAAATATCTATAATGAGGTGTAGATATCGATACCAAGAGGAAGGTATCAATACCGTAATCAAAAATGAAATTCCAAAATACTATAATGGTATCGATACCGAAGTGGGTATCGGTACCATAGAAGAAAAGTATCAATATTGTAGGAGGGGTACCGATACTATTCAGTCTTAAATGTTAAGTTAGAATGAATTTTATTAGAATTCAAAATTAATAGTACTTTTGAGTATTATTACCTTGGATAAATGTTAGTAAGTATACTAACATTATATTTGTATGTGTGATTGTCAAGCAAACGGAAAGGTAATGATAAAGTAGTAAATTAGTCGAACATCATTAAGGCAAAATAGTAAGGCATACCAGGTGAGTGCATTTATTATATACTTATATGATAAGAGGACGACTTGCGATGAGTCAACCTCAAATATTTTTATAAAAGTATGTTTTACCGTAATTTGAAATATTTTCATAAAGTTTATGAAAATGATTTTTACGAATGGTTTTAGGGTATGAACTGCCCTAAAACGAAGGGTTGTGTTTCATACAAATTATTAATTATTATTGGTTTGTAATAAATGTTTAACCTGCGATTTGGATTTTAAAGCATATTGTATGTACATGGAGAGTTATAGGTACAATAATAATACCATAAATAATATGGTATTGTAATATTACTTTGTGTACTTAAGCACTATGTATGTACTTGACATACTTGGTGTGAGATGGATATCTATCGATTTAGAAAATGCTTATTGCATTTTCATAAGAGTACTTTATGTACTTGGAGTAGTACTTTGTGTACTATGGCATGAGTACTTTGTGTACTTGGAGTAGTACTTTGTGTACTATGGCAATAGTACTTTGTGTACTTGGAGTAGTACTTTGTGTACTATGTCACTTTGTGTGCAAGGATGGTAGTTTTACAGGATTACTATTCCGAAAGTGGTAGTTTCATGTTGTTGTGTGCTTGCATTTTCATTTGTCATACATTGGGCTGTGAATGAATGTTTTAGAAGATATTGATTTATATGTATGCTAGGCATACAAAATTATGTTTAGCAGGTTACTTGACGGAAACTTGGTTTATCAAGTCAGATTTTATGCTTTTATGCATTTTATAAGATAAATTGTATTTTATTATTATATTGGTTTACTCATGTTTTTGAAATACCTTACTTACTTTATTATGCCGCACTAAGTGAATACTTAGCGTGTGTTGAATTCACGCGTAAGTATTAGTATGAGCGGAGTAAGGAGTGCAGCTGACATCGTGAATCAAAGGCCGACTCATCAGTAACTATATGACAACTATGTCTACTTTTGATATTATTAGATGACATGTAATAGATTTATGATAATGTCCTGGAAAGTATTTTGGCTTATGATGATTGTAATATTTAATATGTTAGAACTTTAAGACTATTTTATGTACTAAAAGTTAATGAATGTTTTATTATTATTACATTAAAATGTTTTATGTATAGAAACAAAATTTTACTGGTTTTCAAAAGAGGAAATGTTTTTTCAATTAAAAATCATGTGACATTTGTGACTTGTGTACGAAAATGTATATGGGAAATGGGTGTTACATACAGTTGAATAAAATTTGAGTCAAGTATAATTGAATAGATTTGTTAAGTATTTTAATCAAATTGACTAGGTAGAAATGTTGATTATTAATCATTTTAGAATAGTGAAAAATTAACAAGGACAATAAGACAAATTGGTGAAAAATAGCAATACTCTTCCAATTTTTATACCCATAGAATTTGAAAAGCGAAGAGAGAGAATTCTATTATCTTCGACCATTTTTCATCATGATTGAGGGATCATTAATTGATTTAGATAAAGAAAATGTCAATTCATCTAAAATTAGCGAACAACAAATAAAAGTAAGCTTAGATTCTTGAAAACTCAAACCCTAAGCTATTGGTACCATTCATTCTTTGATTAAGGGTTGGGAAATAAATGGATGGAATCTATTTGGAGAAAGAAAAAAATAAAGTTATTAAGCAATCCGACAATCCAATAAATATCGTAAGTTTAAGTTCAGATTTACATAGTAAAATCGAAATCATGTCTGTATGAATATGATTATATATTCGATTTTGATATGTGTAAGTATTGTTATGTGAATTGATGAATTGTTTATTTTAGCTCAATTCATGCTTTTGAGTTAGCAATTGAGCTGTTAAGGTATATTTAAATAGTATCTTATTTCAATTTTGGATTATGTCTGATATATGATTATTTTAGTAAATATTATGATAATACGATAAATTGCCAAGTTTCGAAATTGAAATTCATGCTAAAAACTTGTCCAGTAATTTGTTGTTAGATATATATTTTTATTGTAAATGATATTTTTGATAATTGAAAACATGTTATATTGAATCTGATTATCAGTGAATTATATGTACAATTGACATATCATAGGATGTATAAAGCTTATGTACGGGTAATTTTAGACTCTAGCCTTGACTAGGCGGAGGAATATTGTGTATTTGAAATTTGTTCTCAGATGTATATTAATTTTGTATCATATTAATATTTGGTAAGGAGATCAGATTCGAGTATTGGTAGACTATCAATAATGAATAAATCAACTAGAATAAAGATAAATGCATTCATTTGTTACAATTTATCATATTAACTTAGCCATAGAATTCATTGCATATGTTAAGTGCTTAATTGATATGCTTTGTTCAAATGCAATGTTTTGGTTAAATGTCATGTTGTAGTCATGGTTAACACCTACTTTGTTTTGATTCGACTACTTCATTGAATTCTTGTAAACTTACTCTGTTTATTTCATCATTTTTCCAAAAGTTTAAAAGTACTATATACATCAAAACTACATTTAGAAGTTCATAAGTCAATTCAGTTCCTTTCACTGTAAATTTTCTTTTTTGTATACTCATATGATGGTGAAATATAACATTTGAATATCTAGTGTAATACCCCAAACATCGGGTCAGCGACTAAAGTGTAAGGATTTAAAATTTGACGGTTTAAATTGAATAAATTAAAAACTTTAAGGACTAATTTGGAAATTTTTGTTTAGGACTTATTATCAAAGATTGAAGAATAGAAGGGCAAAATGGTCTTTTAGCAGGAAAGGAATTTAAAATTCATTTTTAAGGTAAACAAGCATGTGGGGAATTAAAGAAAAGGAAAAGAAAAGTCTAGAGACTCATCTTCATATTCTATTCTCCTCTTCCCCGTGAACTTTCATGCTACTGTGAGAAAACTTTTAAGTTGGTTATTCTTGTGACTTTGAATTGGGTTTTAATCTTTGGTTGGTATAGAAGCTTAAGGGTGATTAGAAACTAAGAGATTGAGAATTATTGGTGAATTAGTAAAATGAGTTTTTAAAGGAATTGATGAAATTTGAGTAGTTATTGGGTTTTAAAGGTATATTTGACTTGTCAAATGTGTAATTAAGGTGTTTGAAGTATTAGAAATGATTAAGAACTTGTTTGAATGAGGGGTATGATTTTGAGCTTAAAGTATTATATGGAAAATTTTGGATGTTAAAAGGGGATTAATGGATATAATTTGTGTGGGATAAGTTTTATTGAGTTTAAGGGCTTGAATAGAGTTAATGGTAAGAGATTTAAGTGAAGTAGGGGTAAAATTTGA